AAAAGGTTTTCTCTAGACATACTCTTTAAGAGGTTTATTACATAGCCAATCTTCTCATTGTGCTATCAAGAAATTAGGTTTTCCCACAATTGATTATGAGCCATGTAACAAGAAGTCAATCTGACTTGCAGCATGAATTAGACACGTGACCAGCGACAGCCACCAATAATGGTGTGATACATTATTTGTTCACTAGCTTCGGATCTTTGTATACTACTTATTAAATCATCTTCTTGACATCCATTTTTATGTGGCCTATAATGAGCTAATGGGGAAATGGAAATCTTTAGGAATGTAGGAATACAATTAAATTGTATATATTCACCTAGATAAGCAAAAGCTATAGGAAGATTTTCTGTAGTGCCAGGTTACAGAATAGAAATATTTGTCTATTTCTTCTTTTTCTCAACGGTGATACAGCTAACAATACAAGCTTGACAAGGGACTAATCCCTCCCCACTCTATACAAAACTAAAAAAGTTTTGGATAGGGTAGGATGTACCCAAAAACATTTTTTTAGTTTTGACTTGGAGGAAGAAGAGTACAGTATGTTTCTTTTGCCTAGAGATACATTTTAAGCTGTTTACTTTTGAAGAAACAGCAGCCTTAACTTGTCATTGCTGATTAACATATTCATTGAACATTTGACACTCCCATTGGCTCTCCCACAATGTAGCCTTACCTGCCTGAGCACTCCCATGCAGGAACAGGGGAGCCTATATTAACTGTGTAATTACTTAACAAAGATGGAACTTACAATGGACTTTGGGGTGCTCTGGCAGTGGATTGAGGTGGCTATAAAGTGTGGGGATGCTAATGCTGCTGACCTTCTAAAGTGGACATGTTACTTTGCCTAGGATTGTCAAAGTACAGATTTTCTTTAAAGGTACAATTGAAACAAAATGTATAGATTTAACTGTGAGTTGCTGACAGGAACTTAGTCTACCTGCTCAGAAATTCAGTTTTTCACCCAAGTATATCTAGAGCAATTTTCTTGAAAGCATTACCAGTCCAGATTAAATTGCTCTTTAAGAGTGTCTTGTTCACAGAATCCACTTAGAGACAGATAAATCTTTTGAGTGCTACCACATTCATTTAACAGCAAGCTTTAGTTATTGATCTTTCATAGTTTTATGCATGCATATGTTATTGGGTGATTATAGGTGATTAGGTTACCATATCAGTTCATAAGCACAAATTTTCTTTTTCAACGCTTATTAACAAATAGAAAGCACGCTAAATTTCAAACAGAATAGGGCAGGACTTGACAAATTTGCTTTGAATCTAGGAGCCAGCTAAAAAACTTAGGAGCCAGGTTTTGTATAGCGTAGCGTGGGTTGTCAGTGCCCAGGACTTCACGTGGTGCGATTTGCCACGCGACAATCATGGCAAAACCGCACAATGTTTTAGGTGCCATTGAAAATAATGGCACCTGAATTGCATTTTGTGATCACAGTGATTCTGCTATGATCCCAAAATGCCCAGGTGTGAATGGAGCCACCCTGGTTCACACATATGAGATTCTGAGTTTGTTTTGAAACTCACAGATTTGCATGACAGGCTAAACATTTGGGTTTCCTATTGAGGTGGTTCACACATATGTGATTCACATGCATTGTGTTTGAGTTCCATTATGAAAAGGGTCTTGTGTGAGTTTCTAATGGTGCATTCCAGACTCAGAAGTGATAGAGTAGAGTGGCATGCGGAGATAAGTGTTCACATAGAATTGCTATTACCAGGAGTTTTTGCACTGAAGTCAGTGGGAGGCATTTTCGCATTGAAATCTATAGGAGGCATTTTCACATTGAAGTCTATTAAAGGCGTTTTCCCATTGAAATCTATGGGAGGCGCTTTTCCTTTGAAGTCTATGGAATGCATTTTGCCATTGAAGACTACGGGGCGTAATTTCCCATTGAAACCTATGGGGTGAGAATTCCCATTGAAGTCCATGGGGTGCGATTTCCCATTGAAGTCAATGGGAGGCAGTGTGTGAACCCAGGCACCAGGACACAATTTCTAGTCGCCAGGGCTATCTAGTGCCTGAGATTTGTGGAGCCCTGGATTAGGGATAATTGTACCATGTGCAAAATTAATACGTTACATTGGGTTGCTCACCCTTTATGATAACAAGCATATTAGCATTGCTCTTCTGCTGTGATATTCCACAAATATAATTTTAATGGATTTTACATTTTTCAGCGATCTCTGGATATGTGTCAAGCCCACACTGGAAAATGACAATCTGACTGATTGTTGTTAAGGGTCAACACAGATATTTCCTACTTTGGTAACTGAGGGTTTATTTGAAAAAAATGGGTAAATGTTGTCATCACCTTCTTGGCATCTTCTTCCTTCCAAAATTGAAGTTTATGAGATTTTTTTAACATGTACAGTAACACTCTCCTTGTTAATAGGCTATTATACCTCAATGGAAAGCTTTGAGCGTGATCTACGGGAAATGTGGTTTGGACTATACACTCGTAAAAAAGGCTCCTTAGACTCTTCAGGCTTTGAGCATGTTTTTCATGGTAAGAAAAATGCTCCATTTACATTACAATTTTTGAAATCACAATGGATTTCTTTATTTTCTACATGTTGTGATCTGGCTACAAAAGAGGCAAAATAGCTCACTATTTTAGTGTATCTATTACTAGTATAAGGGATTTTGTTAGCATTATGTCAGAAAACCCTGCAGTGCCCTAAAGACAAAATATCCCCTAATTTAAAGGATGACATGTTCTTGGTGAACTGAATGATGGAGGTCTTTGTCTCGGACATAAAACAGAAAAAATGTGAATACTAACTTTATTTCATGTTATCTCATGTATTCATAACATTCCCAAAAAGGCAAATATTCTCCTTGCAAACATCTTTGCTTACGGCTCACTAGAGTTTTAAATGTAGAGATTTAGCTGCAGGAATATGAGAGACGTTTGTTGAATGACAATACCTTGCATGCCCTCTGATATAAAGCTCTGTGGTGTATGTACGAGGTGGCACATGACCTGGTCTTTGGCAGGTAGGTCTGTGACAGCTTAACTCATGAAGAGTTCTCAGAATGGGTCCCTTGCATCTGCAATGACAAACCTTTTGTTGCCATAATTTTATGTCATACACCAATAAAGTGATCATTGTTCTCACACCAGCTGAGGTTTCCAAGACTTTCCAAACAGGCTTTATAGTAGGAATTTTTTTAATTACATTATTTCATGTTCTTAGAAAGGAAAATATAACAGACCTTAGTAATTCAAACTGAACTTTACACATACAAGTGATGTTCAAGGTTTTAGTAAGAGACACAGTGCCTGAAAGAAAATCACTTCTGCTGTGCTCTCTCTTTAAAAAAAAATGCTCTGGGAATTCTGTGCAATCTATTAAAAGTTTATAGTAATATGGAGTTCAGTGAGCACTAACAAATAACAGCAGCTGATACACTAAAAAGGGAAACCGTAAAACCTTCAAAGTAATGTGAACATAAATAGCGCAGTGCTAAGAATGATATATATAAGCACACCTGTATATAAATAGGTACAATAATGCGTCAAATTACCAATAATGTAAACAGCACAATATGTAAATATAGTTCTCCACAACCGTGCAGTAATGCAGTGATAATAAACACCTTCACTAGTTGTATAGTACACAGTGCAAATGATTGTCCACCAAATATCTGATAGTGATGAAACCACGGATAAACTGAGAGAAATGGTGACTTGATAGGATCCCAGTGACAGCTTTAATCCAGTGCCGTGCAGGAATTATGAGTAAATTGCACACTCACCAGAGGCGCAATATAACTGCGCATTAGTGTCATATACACCAGAGGTCCCTTCAGTTGTTGATGGAGTGCAGCCTGGAATAGATGATTCCGCGGTAGATGGAAAACATCTGGAGGTCCCCTTAGATAGGCCTGGCTATAGGCGGGATTTGCTGAATACAGCTTTCCTCTGGGCCCTGGGATGGTCACCTGGTGGTCCTGGGGAGTTAAATGCTCGGTGTAGAGCAGAAAAAAGTACCCATAGTGTAGTATTAAGGTCAAAACGAAATATGTTTATTACGGATTAGAACAGAAAAAACACATTTTTTAGGTACTGCAGTAAAAACAATCCTCGTCCACAAAGGATGTAGTAAAATGGAATACAGCATAAAACTGACCAGCTGGTGATAATGAGTGGCCGCCGGACCTCCATGGTGCTTACCCCCTTCTGATGATGTATGTGTGATACGAAACGCGCATCAAGGACGAGCCCCTGCTAGCAGTGACGTCAAGCCGCCGGATCAAGGAGGTCCGGCGGCCACTCATTATCATTAGCTGGTCAGTTTTTATGCTGTATTCCATTTTACTACATCCTTTGTGCACGAGGATTGTTTTTACTGCAGTACCTAAAAAGTGTGTTTTTCTGTTCTAATCCGTAATAAACATATTTCGTTTTGACCTTAATACTACACTATGGGGTACTTTTTTCTGCTCTACACCCGAGCATTTAACTCCCCAGGACCACCAGGTGACCATCCCAGGCCCAGAGGAAAGCTGTATTCAGTAAATCCCACCTATAGCCAGGCCTTTCTAAGGGGACCCCCCAGATGTTTTCCATCTACCCCGGAATCATCTATTCCAGGCTGCACTCCATCCACAACTGGAGGGACCTCTGGTGTATATGACACAAATGCGCAGTTATATTGCGCCTCTGGTGAGTGTGCAATTTACTCATAATTCCTGCACGGGGACTGGATTAAAGCTGTCACTGGGATCTAATCAAGTCACCTTTTCTCTCAGTTTATCCGTGGTTTCATCACTATCAGGTATTTGTTGGACTATCATTTGCACTGTGTACTATACAACTAGTGAAGGTGTTTACATTATTGGTAATTTGACGCATTATTGTACCTATTTCTATACAGGTGTGTTTATATACATCATTCCTAGCGCTGCACTATTAAAAGTTTATATTTAAAACAAAGATTGTGTAGAATAAAAAGTTAGAGTTTTGTTTTTGCAGGTGAAATCCATAAAAGAAAGATCTCTGGATTCCATAGTTGGGTTCAGCTCTACCTGTTGGAGAAGGCTGGTGAAATTAACTACTTGAGCTACAGCACAAATGGACCAGTAAGTTGGCTAACTGGTTACAGATGGACAAAAGCATCTCTTCTAGAAGAGTAGAGTTGTTGCTTTATAATCAGCATTACTAGCATGAGATAATCAACTTTTGGACTAGCTTGAATAAAGTAAATACTTCTGTCATGTCTTATAGCTGTTTGTGACTCGGAGATTCTACCTCATTTCCTGTACCTGTGACAGGAGATCAAGAAATGAGGGGAATAGCTGACATGTGAATAAGAAAACACTTACATTATTCTAAACATGACAGATACTCTAACCCAGGGGTGTCCAACCTTTTGGCTTTCTTGGGCCACATTGGAAGAAGGGCAGTTGTCTTGGGTCACACATAAAATACACTAACAATTAAGATATCTGATGAACAGAAAAAGTTGGGCAGATCACAAGTTAATGATCACTGATATAGATAATGTATATGAGTAATAAAGCTTCATTTTTTTGTAATATGTTTTATTGTAAAAGAGGTAATCATAAAAACTAGTGCGATATTTGACACTGTTTTTGATAAACTAACCTATTTTGTTCTTATGACACGTTCCTTGATACACCTTAAATTTGCTGAAATGTTTTCGCATATAATTCCTTTTCAAATTGTAGTGTTTGTTTAATTTGTAGGGAATTTGGGGCAGTTTTCAGAGTGACTTAGTATTTGCCTCAACAAAAAATGTAGTTATCTGTGGAACTTTCCTTGAACAATCGTCCTTCGTACACCTTTTCTTTGGGTTCTGTTTTCTTTTGCGATGATGTGACATCCATGCTAGGCTTAACAAAATAATAGGTAAGGGGATCAGATTTCAACTATGTGCTGTGTGAGGAGGAGATCATGCTGTGTGTTCAGGCTGTGTACAGTGCGGGGATGGGAGACGGCCAGGCACAATGTCAGGGGTAGGGAGGGGCTGTGAGTGGTAGGCTTTTGGGGGGGGGCGTAACTTAAATCTGGGACTGTGATGGTGCTGACCAATCAAAAGCCATCTAACCAGTACTGTCATCCCTGCGTGAAGAGGAGAGAAAGCCTCAGGGATTTCAAATCGCCAGACCTGTGAAGTGGCTTTTCCTTCTGTGACAGCATGGGAACTGTTCAGGGAGGATTCCCTATGTGAACTCAGACCATGACAAACCTGGGTTTTCACAGGAGCAGTGGGGAAATCATATGCTATTCTTTGTGGTGCAATTTGCGTCCATACATTTTGTATGGATGTAAATCGCACTGCAAAGCATCAATACACAGTATCTGCAAGTACTTAACCAAAAATATCATACTCGCCAATCAAAAAAGGGTATCGGTGCATCCCTACTCAAAATGCATCAACATACAAATACAGTATACAAACACAATCAGACTGAGTTACTAAAAAAGTTTATTTCTTCAATAAATTTTGTGAATTCTCACTTCAGTTCTGTTTGAACTTGTTATCTGTATAAAAGACACCTGTCCACAACCTCAAACAGTCACACTCCAAACTCCACTATGGTGAAGACCAAAGAGCTGTCGAAGGACACCAGGAACAAAATTGTAGACCTGCACCACGCTGGCAAGACTGAATCTGCAATAGGCAAGCAGCTTGGTGTGAAGAAATCAACTGTGGGAGCAATAATTAGAAAATTGAAGACATTCAAGACCACTGATAATCTCCCTCGATCTGGGGCTGCACACAAGATCTCACCCCGTGGGGTCAAAATGATCACAAGAATGGTGAGCAAAAATCCCAGGACCACACGGGGAGACCTAGTGAATGACCTGCAGAGAGCTGGGACTAACGTAACAAAGGCTACCATCAGTAACACACTACGCCGCCAGGGACTCAGATCCTGCAGTGCCAGACGTGTCCCCCTGCTTAAGCCAGTACATGTCCGGGCCCGTCTGAAGTTTGCTAGAGAGCATTTGGATGATCCAGAAGAGGATTGGGAGAATGTCATATGGTCAGATGAAACCAAAATAGAACGGTTTGGTAGAAACACAACTCAGCGTGTTTGAAAGAGAGAGAATGCTGAGTTGCATCCAAAGAACACCATACCTACTGTGAAGCATGGGGGTGGCAACATCATGCTTTGGGGCTGTTTCTCCGCAAAGGGACCAGGACGACTGATCCATGTACAGGACAGAATGAATGGGGCCATGTATCATGAGATTTTGAGTGCAAACCTCCTTCCATCAGCAAGGGCATTGAAGATGAAACGTGGCTGGGTCTTCAAACATGACAATGATCCCAAACACCGCCCGGTCAATGAAGGAGTGGCTTCGTAAGAAGCATTTCATGGTCCTGGAGTGGCCTAGCCAGTCTCCAGATCTCTACCCTATAGAAAACCTTTGGAGGGAGTTGAAAGTCCGTGTTGCCCAGCGACAGCCCCAAAACATCACTGCTCTAGAGGAGATCTGCATGGAGGAATAGGCCAACATACCAGCAACAGTGTGTGCCAACCTTGTGAAGACTTACAGGAAACGTCTGACCTCTGTCATTGCCAACAAATGATATATAACAAAGTATTGAGATGAACTTTTGATATTGACCAAATACTTATTTTCCACCATAATCTGCAAATAAATTCTTTCCAAATCAGCCAATGTGATTGTCTGGATTTTTTTTCTCATTTTGTCTCTCATAGTTGAGGTCTACCTATGATGCCAATTACAGGCCTCTCTCATCTTTTTAAGTGGGAGAACTTGCACAATTGGTGGCTGACTAAATACTTTTTTGCCCCACTGTATACAAACACAATCAGACTGAGTTACTAAAAAAATTTAGATTATTTCTTCAATAAATTTTGTGAATTCTCACTTCAGTTATCTGTTTATGTGAAAAGCAAATTCTTGTTTACTTAGTTCATCTGCACTTGATTGGACATTCAAGTGAAGACAAATTTGATTTTCACATTATTTGATAACTGAAGTGAGTATTCACACAACTTTATTAAGTGAATAATTTAAACTGCATAAGTAAATTGCCCTAACTATGTACACAAATACTTTTCAAGGTTGCAATAATGAGGAGTTATCAATGTCTTAGTGTATTTTAGTTTAAACCAACAACCCTAGATCTAGGCTTCTTTCTACAACACCTCAGTTTTTGTACAAACTAGGACTGAAGGAAGATAGGACTTTGGCTAGGCTAATGTTCTGAGCTAGGACAGCAAAATAATCAACATTTTTAAATCATATTAATTTTGTTAATTACATATATTACTCAATTATGATTGCACAAGTTTTTAAAATGTAACTATTCCTGATTGTGCTTATCTTATTATGCTTGGTGCCACAGGGTCATTTTCCAACAGTCATCAGTTTACAGTAGAATGAAAGCTACGTGACTATACATTTCAAATCTTATTGACTCTGCTGAAAAGAACCGTAACTTTTTATTCACCGTTTATTTTATTCCAATAAACATTTTTATTTATATTTTATTCGTGAATTTCTGTGAATTTAATCTAGCGTCTTCACAGTAGATTCTACCCGGTCACAAAGAAAATATGTAAAGATTCTCAACAGACCAGTTTTAAGAGTAATAGAACCATACATATAATGAATATTGTTTACAACATTGACTGCTTTCCTTTCCTGGCTCAGAATATTAAGGTAAACAAAAAAAAATTATAAAAAGAATAGACCCCCATACAACAGGAAACTCAGACTACCTTATGCCTGCGGAGTAATTTTCTTCCTCTATATTGGATGTTGTGTACATTATAAAGAGATAAAAATCATAGCAGTTATATTTTCTGCCAGCTTCATCTCATGGGCTCATTCTACTGCTGACAATTACTAAATAGGCATGTAGTTAGCAGAAAGTCCACTATGTGGTGACATTTCAACATAGAATGAATCTAAAAAACTATGCATGAAAAAGGAAGATATGTCAGTAGAGGTTGTAAGGAGATATACAGTATTTATGTAAAATGGATATCTATTTTTTGATTATTTATCAAAATTTATGAAAACAATGGAATTAAAGAACTTAAGAAAATCATTAGAATGCATGGTCCCTTTGTAAAACTAACAAAATAGATTACATTTTTGTTATTTTCTTTTTGTTTTCTTTAGTGGACAAATTATCCTGATGTGTATTCATTCCAGTTTAAATGGTCCACTTATCTGAAGTCCCTAGGATCTTTTTTTGTGGGATCTAGTCCTGAGTTTGACATAGCAATGTACACACTGTGCTATGTAACTCGTGCCAACAAGCGGTAAGTATTTTGTTTTTCTGATATGCACTTGGCTATTACAATACAACAACAGCTAGGATATGTTTATGCAGGTTATTTACCTTTAAAACCCTTCAAGCTGTGGGCAGGTGGGCAGTGTCGGTGCTAGACTATTTTGTGCCCTAGGCAAGACCAGCTACTCACACAAAATATATGTTAACCAAATATAAATTAACTGCATTAATCAATCAGACAGAGAAACAAAAAAAAGAAACAGAGTTACAAAACTCCACAGTGATCAGCAGCCGCCAGCTGGCTTGCAGTAAGAGACTGAGTCAGAGAGGAACACTGGAAGGAGTGGCAGCTCAGCTGCTACACTGGCCCCAGAAACCTGGCATCTTCCTCTGTCCTTTCTTCCTTCCTCTGCTGCCCCTCCCCTCAGCTGAAGGATCACTCATGATGTGGCGGTGTCCCACACGATCAATCAGCATCCGCTCCCCTCACCCTGACCATTGTCCGCCCCCCTCCTCCTCCTGTCATCCTTCCAGGCTCGGCTCACCTCGGCGCACCTCCTGCTGGGGTGCGATGTCCAGACTGTGGACTCTCAGTGAGGACAGGCGGCCTCCCAGCACTGCACAGCTTCCCTCTCATACACTTTGGGCCCCGATCATCCTACTCACATAGGGTTAAACCCTGCAAGCAGAGCACACCCCTACCTATTGATTGGCTCCAGCTATGTAGAAGAAGGCGGAGCCAGTGCTGGACATGCCCCATTCAGCCACTAGCCAGATCCCTGTTACAGCTGGAGGATCGTGTGTGCCAGTGTGTGTACCAGAGATGTATGGACCGATCTTCCGATCAGAGACTGCTGACTGCCGGGGATCATGGGCTAATGTCATCACTTCCCATCTTAGGGGGACCTGACACTTCATTGCTACATGGAATACTGTAGGTCTGTCAAGTTTCTCCACCTTAAACTCGCTCATCCATGTCTTTATGGACCTTGCTTTGTGCATGGGTGAGCAGTCATGTTGGAAAAGGAAGGGGCCATATCCAAACTGTTCCCACAAAGTTGGGAGCATGAAATTGTCCAAAATGTCTTGTATGCTGATGCCTTAAGAGTTTCCTTCACTGGACCTAAGAGGCCCAAAACCAACCCCTGAAAAACAACCCCACATCATAATCCCCCCTCCACTAAACTTTTACACTTGGCACAATGCAGTCAGGCAAGTACCCTTCTCCTGGCAACCGCCAAACCCAGACACATCCGTTGGATTGCCAGACAGAGAAGCGTGATTCGTAACTCCAGAGAACACATATCCACTGCTCTAGAGTCTAATGGCAGAGTGCTTTACACCACTTCATCCTATGCTTTGCATTGCACTTGGTGATGTAAGGCTTGGATGCAGCTGCTCGGCCATGGAAACCCATTCCATGAAGCTCTCTATGCCCTGTTGGGGTGATAATCCGAAGGCCACACAAAGTTTGGAGGTCTTTAGCTATTGACTCTGCAGACAGTTGTCGACTTCTGCACACTGTGTGCTTCAGCATGCACTGACCCCGCTCTGTCATTTTACGTGGCCTACACTTCAGAGCTGAGTTGCTGTTCTTCCCAGTTGTTTCCACTTTGTTATACTATCACAAACAGTTAACAGTTGGAATATTTAGTAGCAAGGAAATTTCATGGATGGACTTATTGCACAGGTGGCAACCTATCAGGGTCCATGCTTGAATTCACTGAGATCCTGAGAGCGACCCATTCTTTCACAAATGTTTGTAGAAGCAGTCTGCGTGCCTAGGTGCTTGATTTTATATACCTGTGGCAATGGAGGTGATTGGAAAACCTGAATCCAATGATTTGGAGGGGTTTCCCAATACTTTTGGCATCATAGTGTATATGTACCATGTATCATTCTATGTGTATGAGGAGAGGGGGACTCTGCAGATAAATTAAAAATTCATACAAGAGGTCCATAAGCCACACACAGAGAGGGCTGACCTGAGCTCCACCCAGGGGCCCCTAGGTGGCAGTGCGCCCTAGGCGGCTGCCTAGTTTGCCTAGTGGAAGCACCGGCCCTGCAGGTGGGGGACACTCTCTAAATGTCCCCTACTCATTGTGCACCAAATGTGGGTCACGTGAGAGGCCTACCCTGGGGTGGATTCGTCTGGTCTACGCTAGGCACCTGATACACTGGGTATGGGTACATGCATTGATATGATTGTCTCAATATGGTTACAATATATACTTTTTACATCCAGAATAAATATTGCCATTGATAGCCTGTAAGGTGCTATATCCTTTTTGTGGTTTTTGTTGTTGTATCCCAGCATACATAAACATTGCAAATGACTCCCTCCCCACTCCCTGCCAGCCAGCCCATTCTCTTTTATTGTAATGTGGCTATCCTTACCAGTCAACAGTATTCCCCATACTCATCCCTGACCATCCCTCTCCAATCTCCTTTTCTCCCATCTATTTGCGTCTCCTCCCAGTACACATTCCTCCCACACAAGCAGCAGCAGTAGTAAGATGCTCTGCCACAGTGTTCCTCCTTAATCCATTCAAAGTGCCAGAAGAGCACCATAAACTGTGGAGGGGAAGGTAGAAGGGGAGATGTCATTCTGATTGTAGATTTAGCCCAGTGATGGAGTGCTGGAATAGGTGAGATCTGTGAGAGCAGCTTCCCTGAGCAGATCTGCTTGAGGAGACTATCTCTGTATTATACATTACTGGACCCTATACTGTACCATCCTGCCCTCAGTACTGTGCCCTCCTGCTCCCTGTACTGTGCCCACCTGACCACTGCACTGTACCCTCCTGCTCCCCTGCACTGTACCCTCCTGCCCCCTGTACTGTGTCCTCTTACACCTTGTACTGTGCCCTTGTGCCCACTGTAGTATGATCTCCTAACCACTATACTGTACCCTCCTGACCCCCCCTGTACTGTACCCTCCTGCCCTCCCTGTACTATACCCTCCTGCCCCCCATGTACTGTAATCTCTTGACTCCCCCTTGTACTATACCCTCCTGCCCCCCTTGTACTGTACCCTCCTGCCCCACCTCTACTATATCCTCCTGCCACCCTGTACTGTACCCTCCTGACTCCCCTGTACTCTGCCCCCCCATATTCTGCCCTTCTTGCCCCACTGACCCCTGTACTCTGCCCTTGTAATGATTTGTCCTTTGCTTTTACATGGTTTTGATATTTGTGTTGATTAGCCTTTGATTTAGAGCATGTTTTACTTGTTTTTATTTAAAATCGACATTATTTAAAGTACTAATTAATGTATATTAATTCAACTATTTATACTTTAATTTAATTTAAGTAGGTATGTAAGTTGGGGCAGGCTCATAGGGGCCCACGTGCATTACCTTGCCCAGGGGCCCATGATGCTATTAAGATGTTCCTGGCATGCACCCACTTAACTCTTGTCCTTCCAAACCTTTGCATGGGACGAGGACCTCTGGAGTACTGATCTGCTCCCCTTGCTATGAGAGACTGACCTCTCGTGGAAGGAGTGCCAACAACATCTCCCTCACTGAAAGAGGCTGCTTGACTGGCTGTTGGCCTCTGTTATCCCTGGTAAACACCTGCTGTCTTCATACCCCAATGTGCTGTTGACCCAGAGGTGGTTATAGCATTACACTCCTTTATTAACTTCAGCATAGGCAGAAGGGAAAGTTTGAAAGCTTTACTGCAAATGTTCTCAACATTACAAAGTACCCAGAAACACTTCCTTTCCTACGTCCCTAAAACCTATTCAGGGCAGGCTTGTGTGCTGTCGCGGCATTCCTGTAAAGGCCAAGTCCATGTTTGGCAGTGTCCATTTCTTTGCAGAATCCAGTAGCTGGCATCTTTAGGGTGTGCTACAGGTTCCAGCAGTCCTAATACATGGCAGAAGATTCCTGAAGGCAGGCAACCTTGGATATAGACTCTGGGCAACATAGGACCACAATGGTGACAGCAGCGGAGGATCCTTATATATCAGCACAGGATCAGTGGGTTGGACCCAAAAATCCCACCAAGGAAAAAACGCAAGAACAGAGTTAACTCTAAGCCTCCCTTATGGGAAAGCACCTATTTAGGCTAAATTACAACCCGCCAACAAGCTTTGGGTTTGTGTTGGTGGCATCAGTTTGACATCAATTTGAGATGCTTCTGAGATCAGTCAGTGCTGATTGGCAGATGCATTTGATCTACAGTAGACCTCCATCTTACCTGAATTTCACCCGCTTCGATGGAGTTCTACATTCCCATAGACTTGTATTGGAATGCAAAACCCACTTAAAGTGAACAAAAGCCACATGTCCAAAATGTACGTCCAACCAATCTTTTTTTGTAGAGTAGGGGAGGGCTAGAACCCCTGTCAGATTTTTATTTCTATTTATGTCCCTGTTGTAAATTTCCCCTCACTGGTAGCATCATTGTCGCCGAGGATGTAAATGAGGTAAAATCTCTCAAGAGGCCCCTAGGATATAATTAAAAACATGTTCTAATTCTTTCCCACACTATCCAAAACTACAAAAAGAGTTGTAGCAGGACCTACGTTTTAACCATGGAATCTAACCTCATCATTTTTGTTGCTCTTTGTGTTAGCAGTTAAGTATAAACGTTTCATAGTCATAACAAACTTTATTCATACAAGGACTGTTTGCATTTTAATATTTTTAACTTTTTGTTTGTCTTGAAGGTGTATCATCAGATTTAATGGTCATTCTGTGAAAATCCAAACTTACACCTGGGCTAATTCATCCTATGGAAATGGAAAAAGATATGTGGCATCTTCTTATCCTGCCGTCTAGACAAAATGCTGCAATTTTACACCTTGCAAATAAACATTAATCCTCACATTTGTTTGGTCTATATCTCTCTAATGTGAAATTTGAGTAAAATATTTTCATGGTAACTTTCCAAGTGATAACATGGTAACTCTCCAAGTCCTGCCAACTCCTCCTCCTGCAGAATGGCTGCTTAAGCTGTAGAGGGCTCGATCCGACTCCCACATAGGTAAAATGCATCAAAAGGCATTTTTAATGCATGGGTATGTATGTGAAGCCATTTCTTTAGTAAATAGTTCAGGCTTTGCATTTAGGATTAAATTGAAGAGAACATACTGAGATTTGTAATAGATATATTTTTACTTACACCCCTCCTTCCCTCCTTCCTTCCTTCCTTCCTGTGAACAGCTCCTGCTGCACGGAGGCTGGGTTGTGGTGGGTGTGGGTTTTTTGTACATGAAAGATACTCAGTAGACTGTTGCACAGTTTGCACTATTTGCTGCATAGTTCTAGCAATTCATTCATGAATTAGAGTAGTTGTCTGTATTTACTTTGTAATGACATGATACCTTACAACCCAATCCTAATAAAAAACATTTACTAACATACTGTAACTCCTTATTCTCAGCAGAATAGTGACACTGTATTTTGCAGAAAGAGCTATTACAATATTCAGTAATGAACCCGCTTCACATTTTTAATTCTACACTGCCTGAAATTTTTTAAACTCATAAAACCATAAAATAAGACACACTATATGAATATATGAATTCAAGGATCCCTCTGTCTACCACCATTTAATATGGTGTAATTGCTGTCCAGATGTTATAGCATATTATTATCGTTCATTGACGTGCTGCTAGAGATTACAGCACATCATTATTGCTCACTGAATGGTTTCTAGATGTTACTGCACATCATTGCTGCTAACTGATTGGTTGCTAAATGTTACTGCACATCATTACTGCTAACTGATTGGTTGCTAGAGGTTACTGCACATCGTTATTGCTCACTGATTGGTTGCTAAAGATTACAGCAGATCACTGTTGTTCATTGATTGGTTGCTAGAGGTTACTGTACATCATTACTGCTCACTGAGCAGTGGAGCAATCCCAGATAATTGAGCAAGTAAAGCAGCACATTAATACACACACTACAGGAGATGGTCAGAGACTGCAGACATAGTACAGGAGATGATTTGAGACTGCAGACGTTCTACAGGAGATTATCAAAGACCTCAAATGTACTACAGGAGAGATGATCAGAGACTGTGGATGTACGACAGGAGATGATCAGAGACTGCACATGTACTACAGGAGTTGATCAGAGACTGTGGATGTACTACAGGAAATTATCAGAGACTGCAGACGTGCTACAGGAGATAATTAGAGACTGTGGGTGTGCTACAGGAGATGATGAGACACTGTGGGTGTGCTACAGGAGATGTTTAGAGACTGCGGATGTACTACAGGAGATAATCGGAGACTGCGCATGTAATACAGGAAGGGGCGGACTGACCATTCGAGCACTAGGGCACTGCCCAAGGGCCCGGAGTCAGTAGGGGGCCCCATGAAATGCCCCTGGTACCTTTTATAGGCGTTTTTTGAGTGTGGGCAAGGACACGGGCCCCATGTTCCCTATTGCCCGGGGGCCCCATGAGTTGTCAGTCCACCCCTGACTACAGGAGATGACCAGAGACTGCGAATGTACAACAGGAGATGATCAGAGACCATGGGTGTGCTACAGGACATGATCAGAGACTGTGGGTGTGCTACAGGAGATGATCAGAGACGGCGGATGTACTACAGGAGATGATCAGAGACTGTGAATGTACTACAGAAGATGATCAGAGACTGCAGGTGTGCTACAGGAGATGATCAGAGACTGCGGACGTACTACAGGAGATGATCAGAGACTGTGAATGTACTACAGGAGATGACCAGTGACTGCAGTTTTACTACATGAAATGATCAGAGACTGCGGTTGTACTACAGGAGATGATTAGAGACTGCAGATGTACTACAGGAGATGATCAGAGACTATGAATGTACCACAAAAGATGATTAGAGACTGCAGATGTACTACAGGAGATGATCAAATATATATTATGTCAGCAATCTGAAGGCACGTTAATCCTCATATAGTGAAACTGTCTCTTGTAAGTAAACACTTTTGGCACATACAATCAGCTGTGCAGCAACTCCCAGGAGCAACTAGGTAGAAGTAAGTTTTAAAAATAATATAATAATAATAATATTAAAAAATAGTAATAAAATACTAAGTATTTTTAAAATTCTACCTTTCAGCAATGCACAGATTTACAGTTGGTGAATAACAGGTCAGGATTTAGGATAATGGTCCACAGGCAGTCTATGGAGGGAAGGACCTACCTGTCCAGCTGGGCTCACCATCTGCTCTAACAGGTTCAGGGACAGGGCTCTCAGCACTCCCACTCATCTCAGCTCCTACTACAGCCACTCCCTCCCAAGCAAACAGGCTGTATGGGGCGGGCAGCTGCTTTGGGCCCCACAACAATAACTGGTCCTGTAGCAGCTGCCAACAGCTTACTTCATTTAAAGTTGGTATTAAACCCAAAACCATAAAAGTATTATATTACCAATCCTCAGATGTGGTGGTTGCATTAGTTTTCTTTTTTAGGCTATTTCTAGGCATATTGGGAAAAATCATTTTTTTAAAAAAGATCTTCAAACCTAAAGTTGAAGTAAATACAGTGAACGCAAATCTCATTGTATTTTTATTTTTGAGAAAAGTAAACCTCCAAAGTATTCCAGTTTATTATTTCCTATTCTATTCATTTATTCCAGGTATTTATAGAGCACTGATAGTGTAGGCTGTGCTTTGCATATATTATACACTTATAAACTCTTTTAATCCATTCTGATAAAGTAGATGATTTTGGGTTGATTCTAGTGCTTAGGAATAACCTGTTTAGCAGCTAAAATTAGATATGCTGTTTTTTTTTTTGCAAACTTTAGTATCATCAGCATCTTTGTTGAATATTACGAGTAAGGATGAGAAGATAATCTCCATTAGAGTAATACATTTTAAAAGAAGAAAACCAACCTTGTTCCAAATTGAGAACATACTGTATAAAGACAGAATTATCACAAATATATCTCAGTACAGTCAAAAAATTTCCAGCAATTTCCAAAAATAATTTTGTTTATTGGGGTGTTTTAAAAATATATATTTTATTCTTGTTTTGATAATTTTAGTTCAATTTCCAATATAAATTTTGTATAGAAATTCTTTGATTTTCCTTTTTTTCCTTTTTTCTTTTCTATTTTGCTTTTAAGGTTGTATTAAATTGGTCCAGTATGGCATTATGCAGCTATTTTATGTAGTCAGAAATTTTGGAGCAACTGATTGTTTGTTGGTTTTCTATAAATGCTATTTTCAATGAAAATTTCTACTTTTGAAAATTAAATAAAATTATTTTTATTTTTTAATTCTTATTTTTTATATCTCGGAGCAAACTTTAGTTGGAGGAACCACAGTTTGACAAATGAATGGTGTTTTAGATGTGTTTACTATTATATTGTTTAGCATTCATTCAAAGGATTATTTCAGAAACTAATTGAATCAGGGACCCAGTATTTGCACAATTAAAGCTGAACTCCAACCTTACCTGCAGGCTTACATAGTTTTACAGGCTCCTCTCCTGTAGTGCAATTTCTTACTCACACTGTGTATATTAATAGCTGCAACATGTCAGACTGAGGCAACCTCATTTTTTGGCTGGAGGATGTCTTGCATCATCTAGCACTTTCCTCCCCAGCCTTGCTGTCAGTTAATTTCACCTTCCACTCACCTGCTGCCATTTTTCTGCACCAGATTTCCTATGTTTTTGTACATAGTTGAGTCACTTTACCCTGTTTCCATAACAGAGGTATGGCTTTTTGGCTGCAGTTCTTCCAGATCACTTCTGGCTAGAATTCTTTGGACAGATCACTTTTACGGAGATATCAATGGGCAGCACCTGGGGCACCTGCACCGGGTCCCAGGTTTCCCCATTCCAGTGGGGATCATGGGAAACAGCTTCCCAGGAGTAAGCAGGAGAAAACTTGGGGGGCCATCCATTCCCTGACCTCTCCTGTGACTACTGTCCCCGGAAACGACATTCACTTCCGGGGTCACAGCTGTCATTCTTCGGCTAATGTAGCCAAAGGTGCAGCTATTACAGCATGATCTGTGCTAGAATAGTTGCATTGAAGTGCAGGGGAGACACTAGGAATCTAATAGACGTCCAATGTTTCCATAAAAAGGGACTTGTTACCTACCCATGCTATTACGTTGGGGACTTGTTAACCCCCTTGTGATTGCAATAAAGTAAAAAAAAAATAAGTGAATTAAAAAAGAATTGTAAAAGATAAACAAAAATAATTAAAAAAATTCAAATGAATCCCATCACCCCCCATAAACATCCTATCTAAAAAGCACAGCATAGGGTAAGCACCTGTATGTAAACATCAATTACTCCACACATGTGAGGTATTGTTGTGAACTTCACAGTTAACTGTAAACTGATGACCTGTAAAGGCTTTTAAAGCATCCCCTAGGGATAATTTTGAGTGGAATTGTTTTTTGCGTTTCAGAAATTTAAAGATTTGACATGCTTGGGATCAATTGGCTTGAAGCAACACCATCTTTTATATTGTTTGTGTGCACTAAAATTAATTTTAGTGTATATTTTCCTAAAAATATGTGTTAGATAAATAACTGCAATTAACTACACAAATATCATGCAACATAAACATCTACAAATACAACCATTTTATTCCCCCTAGGATCTCTGTTTTCAGGAAAATATATACTTTTTGGGGGGTGGTTACAGCAATTTCTAGAAAGAAATGCAGATTTTAACATTTATGCAAAAAATGAAAAAATCGGTAGACAAGTGGTTAAACAAGTCTATCTTATTTGACTTAAATTTGCCAACTAAAAGTGAAGACTAATGTTACAAATTCAGTGTTGTGTTATACCTACAGGTGGTTGAGGAACCA